TATATATACGCACTTGTGACAAACAGTATGCTACATATCTATCTTGAAAGTGGCTGATAGTGTGCTATATATCGGCATTTATAGCGACAAATAGTGTGCTACATATCTACATTTGTAGTAGGGAATAGTGTGCTCACATATCTGTATTTATAGTAACAACTAGTGCACTGCATATCTGCACTGGTAGTGACGGATAGTGTGCAACATATTTGCAGTTATAATGAAAAATAGTGTGCTACATATCTGCCTTTGATAAGGCAGTATTTATGCTACATATACACATATAAAGGCAAATAGTGTGCTACATATCTGTCTTAGAAGTAGCGGATAGGCTGCTATATATCTGCTAATATAGGGACAAATAGTTTGCTACAATCTGCCTGTGTAATGGATGTATATTGTGCGACATATCTATTTAAAGTGACAAATAGTATGCTGCATATCTGCTTTTGTGTGCTACTACATATCTACCTTTGTAAGGGCGAAAGGTGGGCTACACCTTTGTAATGGTGAATAGTCTGCTATTTATTTGCCTTTGTAATGTGACCTCATGTCAAAGTGTCCGGTACTGAATACGACATTTACGTCGCCACTATCACTGTATCATTTCGATGTATCACAGTGATTTCTTTTTTCAAAAAGGGGGGAAGAAAACGGGGACCGAACTGACTACCCCAGTGCAGTAGAAAGTTTCGGGTTTGGTTTGTCACTCTTTACTCTTGTGCATACTTTAGGCTAAATATACCGGGACCTACAGTTTAAAGTGGATTCCGAACCACCCACAAACATCCACGCCATCATCAGGATTTGAACCTAAAGCCTGTGGTAACAAAGGCCAGAATAGAAAGTTGCAGTGAGAAGTTGTGACAATCGACAAACTCGGCAATTTCATAGGCCGGTCCTTAAAAAAAAAGGTGAATGGAAAGAAAATTCCTTTTGTAGAAAATGTCTGAATGCGAGACTCCGCCCACCGTGCCAACCGAATCATCTTTTTTGAAACTTTTCACAAATAGTTGGTGTGCAAATGCCGCGCAAGTGACGTCATAAAAACGTGCCTTTGTAGTGGCGAATAGTGGGCTACATCATATCTGCCTTTGAAGTGGTGAATAGCGGGCTACAGCTTTGTAAAGGGGAATAGTGGGCTACAGCTTTGTAAAGGGGAATAATGGGCCACACCTTTGTAAAGGGGAATAGTGTTCTACTCATTGCCTTTGTAATGAGACATGTCAAAATGCCCGGTACTGAATACGACATTTATGTCAACGCTATCACTATATCACTTCGATGCATCAAAACGATTTCATTTTTTAAAAGAGGGAGAAGAAAACAGTAACCGAACTGACCACCCGAAAGCTATAGAAAGTTGCAGTGAGAAGTTGAGACATCAACAAACTCAGCAATTTCAATGGCCAGCACTTACAAAAAAGGTGAATGGAAAGAAAATTTCTTTTATGGAAACTTTCCTCAAATAGTTGGTGCAAATGCCGCGCAAGTGACGTCATAAAAAACGAGTTAATGAACACACCGAGTTCATTTAAGAATGAAACTGTACTAGCACAAGAAAAAAGATAGAAACCTTGTACTGAGTCATCCCAGCTAAAGAAGAAAGCGGAAGTTCAGACAGGGGATGAAAGAGGTAGAGACCGGATCGTTTGCACTTTTCGAACAAAGGGGGTCTTTCACGCACGGGGTACAAAAAAAAATGTCCTCTGACCGTCGGACACAGTTGCTTCTATTTATCGTAGGGGTGCTTTTATAAACCTGTTATTTTCTGAGCTGGTAATGTCGATCTGAAATAACTGTAAGGAAGATAAAGCAAAAAAAAAAAAAAAAAAAAAAAAAAAATGCACTGAAGATATCGTTTGCTACTTGACGATTTTAAAATAATCGCTTGGTGGAGAAGAGAGGGCTTCCTGTTGGCTCAAGTTTCATGACCGATATCTTTTCGTTTTAGAATGGCAACGCTTTTTAAAACAGTTTTCATTGTTGCACAATCGTTTTAATAATATTTTTATTACATATATAGGTTTGAAATTGGCGGTTTGGCGATCTTGGCGATAAAGGGATGGGTTGGTTTACTGACACGTGCTTTAATCTTCTTGATTTGCAAATTGCCAAGAATAAGCTTTTGGAAGAGAATCCTCGCCAATTTTTTTGAATATGACTCTGTCATGATGTCTTTATCTTTACATGATTTATTTAGGATGTCTATTTATACGTAAGCAGTGATCGAGTGCGTTTTAATGTTTCTTTTAATTGATGCTTAGAGATAGATTTAATTGATGCGTATAGAGGATTATATATCTGAACTGAGGGAGACTAGTTCGAAACCCGAGCAGCAGCTATACATGTCAATTGATAGTAATGATAATAACACAAACTGCCATGGATTACAGCATGATAATTTATGATGTTTCTCTAATGTTGGACGAGCTTGTGGCAATGCTAACACAATCGAAGTCAGGGGTGGCCAACCCGCGGCCCGTGAGATTTATCACATTTTTACGACATTTTATGAAGGCCAAAGTAGTGAAAACCAATGTATTAAAAAAATACATTATGTGGGCATTCATATATCCATATACCTTTCGAAGTCACACACAAAATTTGCATATTCCCTACTTTGTAAATGTTCTAATTTTCCTTTTTAACTTCTTCCAGTTAATTTTTGTTAAAAAATTGTAGATTATAGGTTTATTTCATACCGAACTGGCAATATCCATTAATTGTTTTCAGCAGTGTATTTTTATTCATTTAGATCATTTTCATAATTCTGGTTCACGGAGTACCATGGCCATGTAGGGCCTGAAAAACTCCTAATCTGTTACAATAAAAGACATTGGAAAAACAGTACATTACTATAAAAAAGAAGGCAGTGAGCATTGGTCATGTCCACACGGCAAAAAAATAAAAAGAAACATTAGACATTTGTGAAAAAAGAAACGGAAAAACCGAAGAAAGCATGGTACAATTAAAATTTGGAAAAGCAATTAAATATTTAATTAAAAACATTTAGCGATGATTTGAAATTTTTCAAAAGGTGAATTAGCATTTTTTAATTGTGCATAGAAGTTGTCAATACCACCAAGCATGTTGAAAATGCTGGAAACTTCCTGTAGGATATACACTGTTTTGGCAGCCGTATCATGATCAAAATCTTGCCAGTTGTTTTGGCGATCGGGAATCACTGATGGAGCAGCTGGCGGCGGCCCACGCAAGAATTATTGATTTAGAGCGGGAACATGGTCTAGGCTTTTATCTTTGAACGCGGCCTGATGGCCAATTGGCTAGCGCTCTGGCCTTTGAAACCACAGACTTCAGCTTCGAATCCTGGCGGTGGCATGGATGTTTTGTTAGTGGTTCGGAATCCACGTTAAACTGTAGGTCCCGGTCTAATTAGCCTAAAGTGTGCACAAAATGTAGAGCGACGAACCAAACCATATCTATCTTTGAAGAAATTCAGATATTTATTTTTTATACAAATGGTTTGTTGTATAATTTTTAATGATGTGTGGTGACCGAGGTCTGAGCCTCTCTGTTCTAAAATGACTTGATAAAAAAGGTATTATTTATGAGAGATTTTTCGATCGTTAAAAATGTATATTTTTTAAGTAATGGACGATTCTAGATTTCAGCGATAAAAAAAAAAAAAAATTACTGAATTGCCTGATAACATAATGGATTGACTTATCCTATATTGAAATTACGTGCATGGAAAATTCATTTTATAGCAAAACATACAAAAAGTTCAATATTTATTATGCTTATTTTATAAACTTATTTTAAAAGATTATATTTAAATTACAGCTTAGATTCTTTTCACCACTATTTCGCAACATTTTTAGACATTTTTTAACATACATTCAACAGTTTCCTTGACGACAGACAACAAAATTGGAAAACTTCTTTAACCCTGACATATCACCACCCTATTAAAAAGTAAAAACACCATGAAAAGTTTTATAACAATAAAGCGAATAACAAAACAATTTATTGATAATGGATTATTGGCAATATCAGTATATGCATTCATAAATAATTGATATTGGTCTAATAATTTCTAGCATTTATTAGCATAATAATTGTGGAATATTGATAATAAAGAGGTAGATAATAGATATTCAATTTTATTCTGTGATAACAGTGGAATTTGGTTTAGTTCTTAATGTTTCATGCAGACAAATGTATGTGCGATTTATTAATGATTTCTCAAAAATAAGCAAACTTACATGAATATTATATTGTAAAGAGAAAAAAGGTACAAAGTTTCAAATCTTCTTTATTATAAGGTTGGTGTTCAGTATAAGTTTTGTTATAAATAAAGTTAAAATTTGTCTGTTTCTCTTAACAAATGATGCAAATGTATAGAATTATGGAACAAACTTTGAAAGGTGGTATAGCTTACTAAAACTATAATTTTTTTTGTATAGGGATGTAGGGTCTGACGTGAAGCGTTGAAGGACAAACACAAAAAAAAAATGAGACATGTTTATTTATTACATGTTAGACAAAAAAAGAAAAACAATGTTTATTATTCACAACATCACTGCAGAGAGCTTTCGTCATGCAATGTTTACAAATGCTCAAAATGGCGACGACTCACAGTAATACATGCTTTTTGGCATCGGAAAAGCGAACAATTCCAAAGATGCTAGGAACATCACAAATGTATGCAGCTGCAATGGATAGTCGAGCCACGAGATACTCATGTGGAATCTGTTGTTGTTTCTAATCCCACTTGGCTGGCCAAGCCCACGAGCCCATACGTGCTCATGATTGAAGGGGAAGGAAGCAGCTTCTGTTGTGATGGAGCACCCGTAGGTAGAAGCCTGACTTTTGCTCCGTGACGCTCTTACAGTCATAGGAGACCGGGACCTACGGCTTAAAGTGGATTCCGAACCACTACAAACATCCATGGCACCGCCGGGATTCGAACCCGAAACCTGTGGCACCGAGCGCCAGAGCGCTAGACACTCGGCCATTCAGGTCCCAAATTTGCCAACGGCACGCGGTGTTCCCAGGTGGTCACCCACCCAAGTACTGACCGTGAATGATGACCAAGTAATGATGCTTGACTTCGGTGATCTAACGAGAACCGGTATATTCAGCATGGTACGGCCGTTGGCTATGTGGAATCTTGTAAATGAAAACAGAGTGCCAAAAATAGGGCAAGAAGTGTGCGCACTGGGGTAGACAGTCAAAGAAATCGAAACTCGCCACGTATCCCCTTCAGCGTATTGTAAACAAGTTTGTTTACGTTTTCAATAGTACTATGGCATCGACAACTGGTCCCTAATTGTACCGAATTTAAAACTTAACTTTTAACTTCTTTTATTTTGTATTTTACTTTTATATCATTATTTTTTTTTTTTTTTTTTTTTTTGAGTACCACTTTAATTTGAATTTTTAGAAACTTTATCTTTTATTTATTTTTTACTAACCTTAAAGCAGCCAATTAGAACTCTAAGCATACTTGTGAATTAAGATGAGGAGGTTTAAGGGGTATTTCACCCTGTTGGTACTCCGTAAACGGTATGCCAGTTGTCAGCCACGTATCGGTTGAGGTCACGTGACGGGATCAAGTGTTGTGAGAAATTCGTTTGAAAGTGTGATCGTTCCTCCACGCGCCACTTCTTACATTCCTAACAAGAAATTCATATTTTAGTAAGCTGTCAAAGTTTATCCCAGACGTCAAAGTTTGAGTCACCCTGTATATATTTTACTTTCCATACTGAGTGATTTGTCCCTTACAATTCTTCTCTGATACGAGGGGGTCTGATGACCGAGTGGCTAGCGCTCTGGTGCTCGGTACCACATGTTTTAGGTTTGAGTCCCGGCAGTGCCATGGATGTTTGTAGTGGTTCGGAATCCACTTTAAATTGTAGGTCCCGGTCTGTTTAGCCTAAAAGTGTGCACAAGATGACCGTAGAGCGACAGACAAACAAACTGATACGAGGGGAATTATAATACACCAAGTGTTAGCCAAGTTACTGGACTACATCTTCTAAATATATAAAGGGACAAGTAATTACTCAGCTGTATTCAAATTAGGAATGAATAAACATTCTATGAAGTTCACATATTCTTTCCCAATGTCCTTTGTCACTATATACACTGAAGTGACAAAAGTCATGGGATAGCAATATGCAAAGTTTCAGATGGCAGTAGCATCGCGTAGAACAGGTATAAATGCGCAGTGCTTTCGCAGAGTTTTCATTTCTGTTCAAGTTATTCATGTGAAGAGGTTTTGACGTGATGATGACCGCACGACGGGAATTAACAGACTTTGAACGCGGAATGTTAGTTGGAGCTAGACGCATGGGCCATGCCATTTCGGAAATCGTTAGGGAATTCAACATTCCCAGATCCACTGTGTCAAGAGTGTGCCGAGAGTATGAAATTTCAGGCATAACATCCCACTATGGACAGCGCAGTGGTCGACCGCCTGCACTTAACGACCGAGACCGGCGACGTCTGCAAAGAGTCGTAAATTCTAACAGACAAGCAACACTGCGTCAAATAACCGCAGAAATCAATGTGGGACGTACAAGGGACTTGTCTGTTAGAACTGTGCGGAGAAATTTGGCTTTCTTGGGCTATTCCAGCAGAAGACCGACTCGAGTGCCTTTACTGACAGAACGACACCGCTTGCAGCGACTCTCGTGGGCACGTGAGCATATCGGTTGGTCCCTAGATGAATTTTAAAACCGTGGCCTGGTCCGATGAGTCACGATTTCAGTTGGTAAGAGCTGATGGTAGGGTTCGAGTGTGGCGCAGACCCCACGAAGCCATGGACCCAAACTGTCAGCAAGGCACTGTTCAAAGCTGGTGGTGGCTCCGTAATGGTGTGGGCTGTTTTTCATGGCATGGACTTGGTCCTCTGGTGCGACTGGACCGAACATTGACTGAAAATGCTTATGTTCAGCTACTTGGAGATCACTTGCAGCCATTCATGGACTTCATGTACCCAAACAACGATGGGATTTTTATGGATGACAATGCGCCATGTCACCGGGCCACAACTGTTCGCGATTGGTTTGAAGAACATTCTGGACAATTCCAACGAATGATCTGGCCACCTAGATCGCCCGACATGAATCCCATCGAGCATTTATGGGACATCATCGAGAGGTCTGTTCGTGCCCAAAATCCTGCACCATCAACGCTTTCACAATTATGGACGTCTATCGAGACAGCATGGCTCAATATTCCTGCAGAAGACTTCCAACGACTTGTTGAGTCAATGCCACGTCGAGTTGCTGCACCTCGCCGGGCGAAAGGAGGGCCGACACGATATTAAGAGGTATACCATGACTTTTGTCACTTCAGTGTAAACCACTGCAATGTGCTATAGCCACTGCGGATTCGCCGTTACTCAGAGTGCACCATCCCACCCCCTCAAATTCAACGGAAGGACTTTTCATTTAAATGATTTATCATGCTCTCATTTACTGCGTAGACACGGCTAGCTTTAAGATTCGGAATAACTTGGGTTTCGAAACAAATTCCTTTGCTTGAAAACCCAATGCATTTTCTATTAGTTTACTTGAAATATGAGTAGTGTTCGAAGTCATTCTTTTTTCCTCCGAAGCCTCTGACTAGCGTTCCTTTTCTAGCAATTAGGAATTGCAATACCGGACCAAAAGTTCAATACCGGTATTCGGTATTTTTTAGGTCTTAATACCGGTAGTAGAAATGTTAGAAAAAGAAAGAAAACACAGGTGTTTTTTTGTTTTATTTGCCAGTTTGATTAGAGAATGTAAATATCATAAAAAAAAATTTGTAACTTATGAATTATGTTGTTGTTGTTGTTGCTTATCCCCTTGATTTAGAATCCTAAACCAAGACCAGTAGATCCTGCTGCATCAATAGATCGTAAACTGTCCTCCCCTCATTCAACAGTTGCCTCACAGAGGCACCAATACAATCTATGAGATGAGAGGGAGATGCGATGGTCGAACAATGACAAAGGGCATATGTCTTCTCGTCTCCATTGAAGGTCAAACTCTTAGTGTGGCCAGTCCTTAGTCTAGCTAAAGCCGTTTGAGCAGGTCTAGGACAGGAGCACTGCATGGACATACCAGGATATTTAGCGGCGTACCATGCATGAATTGGTGGCGACCTCCAAGAGGTATTCACTCTGGCTAAAGTCATGGAATGAACCTCTGAAGCTGACAGATTGGAAGAAGAAGCTTTGGGAAGTTCGCAACCTTCCCTAGCGAGCAGATCAGCAATTTCATTTCCGTAGATGCCCACATGGGAGGGAATCCACTGCAAGCACACCGATCCGATCTGGTCCAAAACAGCTAGTTTGGAAACTATATCCTGCCCCAATTTGTCCAAGATGCTTGGCCAATTTTTCAAATACTGTATTGAGCTCTTACTATCAGTCAGAATCCAAACATCAGGTACTTTAAAGTCTAAAGCTAGATTCAGAGCTTCGCTTATAGCAGTTAATTCTGAGCGGAATACTGAGCTGTGGTCCGGGTTTCTAAAACGATATCTAAATTCTCCTGTACTTGTCTTCATAAAAATATTATGAATTATAACAGTACATAAAGAATCACAAAAAAATAAAGTAATATCTTATTTATCTAAATCACAAAAAAGTGTCAATATCACTATTCAGTCTGTGGTACTATTACGAATTTTTGAAATGTGGTCTTAAAAAACGTAATGCATCAATTGTACTATCATTATGCCTGGAACGTAATTTTGTGCAAAAATGACCAGCTGTCGAAAACGCTCTTTCAGCATCTACGCTAGTGGGTGGTACAGTTAGCAATGCGCGATATACTTTTTCCAAGTATTTACCTCTAAATCCCTCCTCTTCAAGTAAATCTATTTCTCCTCGAATTGTTTTGGATAGAGCTGATTTCTGTATCGTATTTTGGTGTGTTGAAAGTTTTGTAGCTATCGCCAATTCTAATTTTTGTTCACGAGACAATTCCTTTTCACTATCGACATTAGTGTCATCATAATTTCTAGTTTTCAGATAAGAATTCTGAATTTCTAGGAAATACCGAAAAACCGGTATTTAAACATGGGAATACCGGTATTACAAAATTGTACAAACCAAAATACCGGTATTCGGTACCCCGGTATTGCAATCCCTACTAGCAATCTATTTGGCGGCGCTTCTAGCTGGAAAATGAATAGGCGCAAATTCGATCTCCATTTACGGAAAGAATTGTTGTCACTGCATTAAAAAATGAGTAAAGATGACACAGTGTTGTGCATGCGAACTTTTCCAAAAGTAACATTCTGATAGAAAGGAAAGCGCAGACCTATAGCAGTATTGATTTCTTGTCATCAGATTAGCGGTTTCGTGGGCCAGATACTGAAAAAAATAAGTATCCCAGTATTAAAAAAAAAAAAAAAAAAAAAAATTCACCACAACCACAAGCAGTATGAGATACTTTTTTTTGTGGCCGGAAAATACCAGATTTGTCATGGCATATTTGCTAGTATTAAATAATCATCACTTACAAAAAAATACGCCAGCGACATAGTTACTTGGTTCGTAACTCGATAATTTCGTAGATCATAAAGTCCTTTCGTTATGAATCCTCTACATGCCATCCTTAGAGGTATTAGCTCAAAATTATCCTGACAAAATGTGGATGCAATGTAGCAGACGCCCCGTAGTGCACCATTCTGTTTAACGCTGCATCTGCTGTTATAATGATACAAATAAAATAATTTTACGAAAATACTTTATTCAAAATATTATTTGAATGTAGAGATTTAAAAAATTTTTGTCCTTATATCACGAACATATTCTCCACGTTCCAATATATGCGCATACTCATTTTCATGACTCGTTTGAACGGTATATAAGATGAAATGCTGCAGCAGCCTCTGGTGGCAAGTAACACTAAAGCGGATGGCGTGAACCTATTTTCCATGCTCGAATACATATTCTTAGCAATTGATGGACTGCAGCAGTATCTGGTACCAATTCACAACAAATGGGATAACATAGAAACATTTTCCATGTTTTGTCAAACGCACACAGAAAATTTCATCAAAATCGGTCAAGCCATTTAAGAGGAGTACAGTGACAAACACGTGTACAGAAGAATTAAATATATATATATATATAAAGATTATGAGACGCAAG